ATGGCCACCCATTTCTAGAGTGTCCATGAGTTTACAGCTGTAGGTCAGCAGGACCCAGTAGGTTTACAGGATGTAACAACGCTCTAATACAGCCTCAGCACTGGAATGACAAAAATGTTAACGCTAAGATTTCTACTGTGAGAGAATCTTTTGTTTTCTGACTCATTTACCAAGAAAACCAAAATCCAGAGAGGATACGTGAACTTCACAAAGTCACAGAGCAGTTCACTTAGAATTTGAGGACCAGGTCTGGGCAATGAACCAAGGTTTTTCCCACAATGCATACATTAGAGACATGTATTCCCTAATGGCTCTACAACTTCTAGCAAGGAGCTCTGGGGATTGTGCTTCCTGTAAATAACTTGGTTTTTCCTGGGTTTCTAGTCAGTCTGGATGGCTCAGGATATCGGATGACCTGCCCTCATTTCTCCTTACTTAGAGCAGATGATGGTTTCGTTTCCAGGGGTCCCTTCTGCCTTAAAACATATGGGAAGATGCTGTCTTTTCATCTGGTCTTCAAATATGGCTTCTCCACTCTTGACAAGTGAGAACTGAGAACAGAATAGTCAAACCTCTACTTTAACGTGAAGAAATGAGATGCTCTTCTTGGCCCAACTCAGGACTGACAGTAAGTCACTGGCCATACATCCCTTTCCCCAATCAGTCAAGAGAAGCAGAATGGTCCATTGGAAATAGTTTCAGGAATCCTGTTTTCTATATCAGTTGTAGTGCTGAACTTGGTCAGATTACAGCAGCAATTTTATATCTGTTTACTCATTCATAAAATAAGAGAGTTGTAACAAACAGCTTAATATCTTTTAGTCCCTAAAGGGTGGAGTGGCTAGGTAGCTTTAATCCAGGGGGATATTTCACCAGGTGATGAATTTAACCCTCTGGTCCCTGGAACCACAGTTTCCTGAAATCTCCATGGACTCCTGAGAGGAACTTGACATGTAGACGGAGCATGTCAGGTCAGGTTGGCTGTTTTCAAACATGGAAAAGGAAGAAATTTGGGGGAACATTTCTCAGCATTGGGAAGGGGCACAAAGGGGCAGATTCAGACCAATGAAGACATGTTCATATTAAACCTGAATCCCAAGCATTAATTTTCTCTACACTGTTTTTTAAAACAAAGCAATATTTAGTTCAAATGTAAAATACAAACAAACCTTGAATTCAGTGCTCATGAAAATATGCAATTGATTAGACTTACTAATTCAACATCCACAATACTTTTTCACAATTTTGAATAACTTCTATGTACTAGAACGTACTCTAGGCAATCTAAGATCTTCATGTAAGAGTCATCTGTTTTACTAATTAAAAGGCAATGTTGGTAGCTAAATAATAACACCATACAGTTTCATCGTAGCTTCAGTTGCCATTCTGCTACCCATTCATCCACTATTGCATTCAATAGATGATTACCAATAAGAAACAAGATGAATAAAAATGAGTCCCTGGCACTGAGGGACACACAGTCTAAACGGAGAAAGGAAATAATTATAAGGCAGTATGTCAGGTGTTCTACCAGAGCCCCATGTACAGGGCTGTGGGAACACAGGGGATAACGCAATGAACTCCAACGTTTTCAGGTGTTGACACCTGAGCTCTTGCCATGTGGAGGGGAAGACAGAACATTCAGAAAGGTGGAAGAGCTAAGCAGCAAAGGCATGCAGGTGGGATACGAGTTATTTGAGGACTGTGAGTGGTTTTGTGGGCAAGAATGTGGGATGGCATGGCATGAGGGAAGTGTCATCAAATAGACAGACCAAGACAGAATCATGAAGGGCTGATTATGATTATGTCATGGTAAGAGCTAGTTTGGACATTGCCCTGATGTGAGACAATAAGGAGCCTCACAATAGTCTATGAGGGGATTTAGTTATTCTTCAGCACAAAGGTGAAAACTAAACCTCAGGGAAGCTAAATGAATTCTTCAAAGCCATATTATTATAGAAGGTAACAAGATACAGAAGGTGAATCAAAAACCTCTTAGTGCAAGCTAACTGTTTTTTTCCTTTACTATATGCAACCTAAATATTCTCCTTGGAAACACACATATGAGTCTAATGTAGTGGTTTTAAGTGTCTAGATACAGTAGGAATTCCACTTTTGGGGGTGGGTGTGGGTATAGAAAATGCTCCCGACATGATTGTGACACACCTCCAGCTTAGACCACAGGCCAGGGTGTTAGACCATCTTGTCATGATAATAAAGTTGAAACCAAACGCCATATCTTTTCCCCAAAAGTCAATTGTTTAAAGTTTTGTTCATTTATTTGCGCAGAATATCAGAATTCTGAGAATATTTGTTCATCTTTATAAATTTTTCATTTGGAATCAGTCTGACTGTTTATAATGGGCTGTTTGTTTCTAGAAACTAATGAGATTCCTGAAAATTACCCTCAGGCAAGAAAAGTGAACACTGGAATAAATGTACATTTATTTCTAATTCTCACCATACAGGTTGATATAATTGAGTGAATATAACAAAATATATCACTGTATTTCCTGCTACTAGCTAAGTTCCTAAAACTGGATCTAGTTACAGTTGGGGGTAGAGGAGAGACACCAGAAAGGAAGGAGTCATGGACTGAGGCCATTAGCTTTGCAAGTACAGAAACCGATCTCACCCAAGCATTGGTTTGGAATGACTCACATCAATCACACTCACAAAAGATTGATGCATAAACCCAAAATACCAATATCTTTATTTGCCATGAGAACTGTAACTGCCAAATCAAATGAATATTTAAATTCTCTAAGGTGGCCGATGTGTTAATTAACTTGATAGTGGTAACCATTTCACAACGTATCTGTAATTATGTACTAAATGTATTAAAACATCACGTTGTATCCCTTAAATGTATACAAATTTTATTTGTCGCTATATCTTGATAAAGTTGGAATGAACCAATTAATCTGCTGACAGTGCATTTCCTCCTTATTGAAAATATGCAGGAAGCTGAACTAAAGCCACAGTGTTGTTTAGTGAACCCTAAAAAGCTGCACAGCACAATTAAGAACTTAGACTTCTGACTGACAAATTTCCTTCAAATCCTAAATACGTGGCCTTTGGCAAGTTTCTTAACCCCTCTGAAGTTCAGTTTCTATATCTTTAAAGTCAACCAATGCAAAATATAGATGATGTATTGAAACCTATGTAACTTTATTAACCATATCACCCCAATAAAATTACTAAATTAATTGCTCCCTTTACTACAACTTCCTTTGTAACCCTATAAATATGAAGAGAGTAAACACAAATGATTAAAGGTTGCTAAAAATAGAGAAATAATAATAAAGAGAAATAATAATAAAGTCAAATCACAGAGCCACCACACAGAGTTGTCACTCAAGAGAATCCAGTTGCCAGCACATGGCTACTGCTCAGCCAGTGTTAGCTGTTCTATTACTCTGACTTTTTCTTTGAGTCAAAACAAGGGCTATGGATTGGCTAAACTTACTGTCCAGCGTTTTCTAGTTAGGAGATTCCTAGTGTATTCTCACTATGGTTGCAATGGACAATAAAGATGTTTGACTCTCTAATCAAGATATCCTCGGGCCGGCCGAGTGACTCAGTTGGTTAAGAGCTCGCTCAAGAGTTAGAGCTCTGAGCAACAGCGGTTTGATTCCTGGCCAGAGCTGAGCTGCCACTGAGCTGCCAACAGGTGGCAGAATGGCTCAGCTAAAAAAAAAAAAAGATATCTTCTTCGCTGAACAGAGCTAGAAACAAACTAAGGTGTAGTTTTGGGGGCAAATGAAGCATTTGACATTTTCTATTTAGTTTTGCACTATATAAATCTAATATATAAATTTAAGAAGGCCCTGTTAGAGCAAAGAAGAAGTCAGAAGCTGGAATACACAGTCTAAAACTTAGATTTTTAAATCCAGAAGAAGAGGTTCAAACTATAATAGGTGGAGAAGTACCTGTAAATGAGGAGCATCAGGGTTGTCAGAGAAAAAAACACAAGTAATTCTCAGTTGGAGGGAATTCGAGTTGTGTTTTATGCACTTCCTATAGCCTTTTCTTTGGGAACGCTGGGAAGATTTAAAAAAGACAAAATGGACTACGCTATGATGAAAAATTCTTGCCCCATCACGTTTTCTTTACACAAGGTCAAAGGCATGTGATTTTTGTTCTGCTGCTCACTTTCAGAGCTGCCTTTCAGAAACCACACCCTGGTCACCTTGTCAGAATTCTGGGTCTCCAAATTTCCATATTGGCTTCTTTCTGGATGGTTGCTTGCATTAACTTGACCAATTACATCCATAATATTTTTTATTTTTCCAAGACAAAATTATTTTTATTTTTTCTTTTATCCATTATTTTTTAAAATAATCATTTAATTACAAAGATAATACTTTCTGGTAAAAATGTGAATAATGCAGAAGGTGGCACCCACAACCTTTCAACCCACAGCTGCTTCTCAGAAGTAAATACTATTGACCTTTAACATGTCCTTCCAGTGTTCTTACTCATATACGTTTACGTTTTAATTTTACAAAAATGGCATTATACGTATACATGTTGTTCTGAAATTTTACCTTTTAAAAATTATTTTTAAATTAATTATATAATTATGTATTATTTTAATTGAATTAATTTTAATTAAGTAAAATATTATTCACTTAATTACACAATTATTCAGTAAAAAAGTTATTATGCATGCAATTAGAATTATTCAGTGTATTCTGACAGGATGTATACAATCCAGAGCACACGTTTTCATGGTACCCGACGTGTTTCATGGGGACAGCTAAAATCACTTGGATAGCTATCTATCAGATATCCATCTGACACCAATCTATCATTGTACAAATTGTCTGATCCAAACTGTCTTTTCTAATGTGCACAGTTATAAATTCAAGCTTTACCAAACAGAATAATGTAAACCACAGGATTTTTTTAAAATGGGGATTCAAAATAATTTCAGCCCAACAACATGTACTTTTTTGCCACTTATAATAAAATTTATTTCATACAGAATTCCAGACATGGATAGAAGAAACCAGACCCGCATCTACGAGTTTCTTCTCCTGGGCTTCTCCGAACACCCAGAGCAGCAGCCTTTCCTGTTCGGGCTCTTCCTGGCCATGTACCTGCTCACCGTGCTGGGGAACCTGCTCATCATCGTGGCCATAGGCTCTGACCAGCACCTCCACACACCCATGTACTTCTTCCTGGCCAACCTGTCCTTCTCTGACATTGGTTTCATCTCTACAATAATTCCCAAGATGCTGCATAATATTGGCTCAGGAAGTAAATTGATTTCTTATGGTGGGTGTCTGACACAACTCTATTTCTTTGGCCTATTTGCAGATCTAGACAACTTTCTCCTGGCTGTGATGGCACTTGACCGCTATGTGGCCATCAGCCATCCCCTCCATTATGCCATGGCCATGAACTCCCAACGCTGCGTCCTGTTGGTGGCTGGGTCATGGGTGGTCACTACCTTCCACGCCCTAGTGCACACCCTCCTAGTGACCAGGCTTTCCTTCTGTGGCCCCAATATCATCCCCCATTTCTTCTGTGATCTGGTCCCACTCCTGAAGCTGGCCTGCTCCAGTACTTATGTCAACGGCCTGGTGCTCATCCTTGTGGCAGGAACACTGCTAATTGGACCCTTTGTCTGCATCCTTACATCTTACTTTTACATTGCATTGGCTGTCCTAAGAATTGATTCTCCAAAGGGTAAGCAAAGGGCTTTCTCCAACTGTACTTCCCACCTCTCTGTGGTCTCTCTGTTTTACGGCGCAGCTATTGGGGTCTATTTATGTCCTCCATCACCCCTCTCAGGTGGAAAGGACAGAGTCTTCTCGGTGATGTACACAGTGGTCACGCCCATGCTGAACCCTTTCATCTACAGCCTGAGAAACAGGGACATGAAGGGCTCACTGGGAAAGCTCCTCAGGAGAAAAACACTCTAATACTTTTTCTCAGGACTTTACGGTCCTAACTCCAAGGCTCAAAGCTGAGAGTCAAAAATTGGCCTCCAGAGAACCCAACCACTGTGGCGTCTCTGACCCTGAGACACCTCTTTTTCTCATGCTTATATTTCAAAGTACAGATTGATATCTGAGGACAGAGAGGGGACCAGTGATATCAGTAACCCCCAATCATCTTTGTGAAGTGCCCACGCTTGAGTAGTTTACTGCCCACTCTCACAATGGTTCTTGTTAATTTTAATGAATGCCTACGAGAAGTCCATGTATACAATAAAATGAAAATAGAAGTCCAAAATTTTGTTTAGCTCAAGTTATAAATGAAGATACTTCTAAACCAAGAATACAGGATTCATTATATCTGGTAAAATGAAATACAAAGTAACTAATCTGACAGTTTATACTTAAACAGGCAGTGTTCTTGCTATAGAAGAATAAGGATAGAGCTTTAATTTAGGTCCTGGGTTCCAGTGATGGCTTTGCCATTAATGAACTGTGATGGTTGGATATTCACTTAATGTCTTTGAGCCCTGGTTTCCCCATTTGCAAATTGAGCCCTGGTTTCCCCATTTGCAAATTAACGTAACTGGATTATGTAAGTCTAAGCCCCCCCCCTTATATATATACCTGAGTTCTAATAATATTTAGTGCTATGGTGACTGGATCTCAAGACTTAAAGTCAGAGGTTACAAGTCAGAACCAAAAATCCACCATGTTCTTACTGTGTAACTTGAGGAACATTCTTTGTCTCTGAGTTCTGGCTTCTTTATCTGTAAAACGGGAAGAACAACTACATCATAGAATTCCTCTTAGAAATAAGTAATATGGGAACTTATTTACACAGCAAGTGCTCAATAAACAACACTTCAGTTGTTTCCATAGCTTGGCTACTGTGAATAATGCTGTAATGAACATGGGGTAACTCATAGTTACTGTGAGGATAAAATGACATAAAAGCATTTGAGCACTTTAAGCAGAATACCTGGCACATATGTAAGCACTTGACATATGTAAGGCTATTATTATTGCCAGTTATGTGCATTCAATAATGTCTGTGTCCATGTATGTTTCAGAGTTTTCAGCCCTGACTGATATGAGCTGATAAGATGTGTCACATCTCACTTTCTAGGAAAATGAATGCTTTGTGTTCCCAGAATGAACAGAGCATAAGTAAAAGGGAAAATGTCCATCCAAGCTGGATACTGAGAACACTTAGAGAGTTACAAGTCAGATCAAGAAGGAAAACATTAAGAGAATATTTCTTAACCACAATATAACCCCTACAAATCAATAATAAAAACACAACAACCACATAGGAAAAAAGGGCAAGGATGTAGTTGGAAAATTCAAGGAAGAAAAAAGTAAAATGGTCAAAACATTGCCCTCAGCAATTAAGAAAATAAAAAGTAAAACTATCATAAAGTATTGTTTTTTTTTCCCATCGTCAGATTGGAAAACAGTAGAGTTTGCAAGCAGTGCTGTTAGGCTGTGGAAAAGGGCCCTCTCACATGCTCTTGAAGGTCTGTATAAATTGGTTTAAACTTTTTGGCAGGCAACCTGGTGGTACCAATTGAAATTAAAAATGCACATGTACTTCCATCTAGCATATCCATTTCTAGAAAAATGTATGCACACAAAGATGCCTGTAAAAGAATATCCATGTAGTGTTGCCTTTGTCAGAGGGCCCCCTCCAAAAAGAAAAAGGAGGTAAGTGGGATGCGTAGGGAGATGTTTATAACTTCTGGTACATCTAACAGCTCACAAAATACTTTAAAAGTAATAAAGGAGGTCTGATGGTGATATAGGAGGTCCATGATATACTGATGAGAGGAACAAAGAAAGCTCCAGAACAAGTGATCTCATTTTTGTAAAACCAAAATTGTACATATACATATGTGCAGAGAAAAGTGTCTGAATCAGTACATGTTGAAATATTAATGTAATTACCCCTGAAGAGGAATGGGGAAGGTAAGAAACAAACTCTCACTTTTCTTTTTTATTAAGATTTTTTTTTTAAATTGGGGAATTGGGGGATGGGAACAGCGCTGGGGAATTGGGGGAAGGGGAACAGACAAGTTGCCATCGTTTTGTTCTTCAGTCTCGTTGTGGAGGATGCCACCCCACTGGCCCAAGTTGGCACCATCATTGCGCTCTTCCCGGGTGAGGCAGATCAGTTGCCGGCTTCTGGACGGCCGCTCACTGCGTCTGCTGGCCGCTCACGTTGGCTGCTGGCTACATACGGTAGCCCATGGCAACCCACTGCCACAGAGGCTGCAGCCTACGCCGTTTCCGGCGACTCATGGCAGCCAGGCTCCAGGTCCAGCTGCTGCTCAGCATCCTAGCTGCAGAGGGCAGTGTCACCGGCCCTCATATGTGGGATCCAAACCAGGGCCCTCTAGTGTCCCAAGCCAGCCCTCAACCATCGCGCCACTTGGCTGGCCCCAAACTCTCACTTTTCAATGGATACATGTTTCACTGCTAAATATCTTGAAAAATAAGTGTGTATCACTTAAGAGAAATGTAAAACAAGAAGCTACATCTTTCAGGACTCAGGGCAGGGAGACACCCCATTCATGCCTTGACCATAAGTTTTCATGGGCTTTCTTCTCAGAGTCAAATTTTGGAGCTCACAACAGAGAATCCCACATCCAGGCTGATCTCCCAGGTCCTGGGTGCTCACTTGGGATCAGCTGAGCTGCCAAGCCACAGTCTGTCACTAATGCTAATACTGAAAGCACCACCTCGTGGGCCCCAGTCCTCAGAGAAGGCAGTAAGTTTGACCAATGACACACTTGGGAAACTGTGCTAGGGGAAACCATGGAATTCATACAGAAACACATCATAAAACCTCCCAGCACCTTTCCCAGACATGCTTTCTTATCCCTGACAAGCAGAAGCACCTCAGGAGCCTCGCTGCTCTGCCATTCACCCCCTTCCTGATGCTTTTCTTGCTTCTGTGCTGGGCAACTTCCTCTTCCTCCCTTGAGTGGACTGCTCTATGCTGCTGTCAAAAGAAGACACGGTGACATGTGCCAGCTAACGGAGGATGGAAGCGCCAAGCCCAGCCCACTGCAGTCCACTCAGGGGTCCACAGTAAGGTATCTGCACTTAGGGCTGTACACCCACATAGCAGTTCCTGAGCACCTCAGACAACTGGGACTACATCAAATTAAAAGCATCTTCACAGCAAAAGAAGCTATCAACAAGATGAAAAGGCAACTTATGGAGAAGATATTTGCAAACCATACATTTGATAAGTGACTACTACCCAAAAGTATAAGGAACACATACAACTCAACAGCAAAACAAAAAACATATGATTCTATTAAAAAATGGGAAAGGACTTCATTAGACATTTTTCCAAAGAAGACATACAAGTAGCCAATAGGTATATGAAACAGTGTTCAACATCATTAATAATTAGGGAAATGCAAATAAAAACCACAACAAGATACCACCCCACCCCTGTTAGAATGGCTATTATCAAAAAGACAAGAAGTAACAAGAGTTGGCAAGGATGTGGAGAAATTGGAGCCCTTTTTGCACTGTGGATAGGAATGCAAAATGGCACAGCTGCTATGGAAAACAGTATGGAGGTTCCTCAAAAAAATTAAAAATAGAACTGTCACATGATCCAGCAATTCCACAAATACTCAAAAGAATGAAATTATTGCCTACAAGAGATATCTGCACTACTATGTTCACTGTAGCATGATTCACAATAATCAAAATATGGTAGCAACCTAAGTATCTGTGAATGGATGAATAGATTTTTTAAAATGTGAGATATATATATAATTATATACATGGATATATATATATACACATACATATATATACATATATATATATATATATATATATATACACATATATATATATACATATATATATTGCACCATTGGCGAAATCTCAATGTTAAACTTTTCAGTTCCTATCAACTTCTATTCTTTCACCTTATTTAATTCAGTTCTCTAACTCCAATGATTCTCTGAGATCACTGAGATCTATTATCCCTTGAAATTCGTTTTCATTATCTCTCACCTAATGCATGAGCTTTGTTCCCACCTTAACAAGGATACATTTTATGGTCCAGGATTGTAACCACCTTCTTATAAACATCCTTAATTCTTCTGCCCCCTTTGGTTGCAACTGGCAAAATCCCTGGGCAAACACATGCTTATTCATGACTGTACTTGATCACCTGAATATTGTTGGAGAATATCGCCCAACCATGTTGATATGACTAATATTAAACCTGTAAATGAAATCCCTAAATGGGCCCTCAGTGTTGGCAGAGATGAGGCTTACCATAACATTTCCTAGTACTTTACTTTCCCACACTCTAGCATACCTCACATAATTTCTTTCTACAAATCTCTAAAACAGCTGTTCTCAACCTGTGGGTCACAACCCCTTTGGGGGTCAAACGACCCTTTCACAGGGGTCGCCTAAGACCATTGGAAAACAAAAAGATATTTACATTACAATTCATAACAGTAGCAAAATTACAGTTATAGAGTAGCAATGAAAATAATTTTATGGTTGGGGGTCACCCCAACATGAGGAACTGTATTAAGAGGTTGCGGCATTAGGAAGGTTGAGAACTGCTGCTCTAAAACAGTACTGCTCCCACCACTCTCAGTTGAAGTCTCTTGTACCATCTTCCTGCCATCAAATCCACCAGCCCATTTGCATCCACATATTCTGACTTCCTTTTTGTTATAGGGAAAGAAGTGGCTCCTTTCCTAGATAAAAATCACCCCTTAATAGATGTGCATCCCTTTTCAAGGACTTTATTTTTGCAATTAATCACTTCCGCTCTTGAATCCTGAATTTTTTGTTATATGCTAGATTATTTCTATCAGCAAAGGAACATTCTTAATGTCACATCTTTACTAAAATTAGAAGAAATTCTCCCTTGACTCACATCCTCCTCATGTTACACACCACTTTTTGTCTACCCTACCCCCCAAAAAAATTAT